CTGTAAGAGGGTAAGAGGGCCAATCTCTCCAGAACTAGTTTGTGTACATACATGAGCATAAGGCAAACTGTCCTCAGCATGAATTTTTAGGGGAAAAACTACTTACTATCTTACACCTATGCTTAATTGGAATGCATATGATTAAAATTAAAATGGAAAAAGAATATGCACAGTGAACAAAAGATTTACACAGCATAATTCCTAATAGTCCCACGTGCCATTCATTAATGTCAATCAAAAGACTGTTAGTTAAAACAGAACCACCCATGCCAGGCACCTTAGCAACCAAACTCCTCTATTTTATTTATTAATATATTTATTAATATATACACTGTATATGTGCCTGCTGCCTGAAGAGGATCCCGTAAGGAGGCTACATATGGATGCTGGGGACCAAAACTGTACTCTTTAGGAGTTCAGTGTGTGCTCTGACCTGCTGAGCTATCTTTTCAGGCCCCTCTTCTTTCTCTTGAATCCCACCAAAGGAAGTCTTCAACAGTAACCGGAGCCCCTGAGTAACCTCACTCATGTGGTCCACTGTTTTCCTTCTGATTGGTACCATCACTTGGCTTTTGAATAGTTTCCTTGCTACTTTGTAGATCAGTATAACCCTTTATTTTAATTCCTCAAATAAGAGGAACCAAACACTAAGAGGAATTAAATAAGAGGAATCAGACAACAACCCAGACACGCCTAGACTAGACATTGCAATTGAGGAAATGAATTTTTACATTGAGATGGAATCTCTTGTATCCTATTGACTATGTAGCTAAGGATGGCCTAGAACTTTTGCTCCTTCCGAGTGCAAGAATCATCGCCAAGTGCTGCTATATCCCCTTTATGCAGTGCTGGGGTCAAACCCTGGGCTTTGTGCATTCTAGGCAAACCCTCTACCAACTGAGGATATCCCTGGCCCTCATTTCATTTAAATAACTACACATGACTAGTGCATATCCATACTGGACAGTACATACATGCAGTTCTGAGACCCAGAACCTGAAATAGCAAATAGTCCTTCTGGACAGACTAGGTCTCCCTGAGCACAGTAGTGTTGTGGGGGTTTTGTTTGCTGTTTGAGATACAGTTTCATGTAGCCAATCCTGTGTCTACTGCCTGGAGTTACAGGCATGCACCATCATGCCCAGCTGTGTTTCTAACCCTGAGACCCCGCATCTCATCCAGCTTTCCATCTCCTTCTTCTAACCCTGAGACCCCGCATCTCATCCAGCTTTCCATCTCCTTCTTCTAACCCTGAGACCCTGCATCTCATCCAGCTTTCCATCTCCTTCTTCTAACCCTGAGACCCCGCATCTCATCCAGCTTTCCATCTCCTTCTTCTAACCCTGAGACCCTGCATCTCATCCAGCTTTCCATCTCCTTCTTCTAACCCCGAGACCCCGCATTTCATCCAGCTTTCCATCTCCCTCTTCTAACCCTGAGACCCCGCATCTCATCCAGCTTTCCATCTCCTTCTTCTAACCCCGAGACCCCGCATTTCATCCAGCTTTCCATCTCCCTCTTCTAACCCTGAGACCCCGCATCTCATCCAGCTTTCCATCTCCCTCTTCTAACCCTGAGACCCCGCATCTCATCCAGCTTTCCATCTCCCTCTTCTAACCCTGAGACTCTGCATCTCATCCAGCTTTCCATCTCCCTCTTCTAACCCTGAGACCCCGCATTTCATCCAGCTTTCCATCTCCCTCTTCTAACCCTGAGACTCTGCATCTCATCCAGCTTCCCTCTTCTTGCTGTTGTTTAATCCCAATCTGCCTTGAGTTACAGAACAGTTTACACATAAGACCAAAGTGTCTCACGCATGAGTTGGCCACAAAGCCAATTTGTTGGCTTTACCAACACTCTAGAAGTGATCATGTACCACACTTAAATCAGTGTTTGTTGTAACTTGCTGCGATTGGTGTATGTGGGCCGGGGAGTGTTATGTAGGCAGATGCCATACTATAAAAAGTGTGTCTTGCCGGGAGGTGATGGCGCTCGCCTTTAGTCCCAGCACTTGGGAGGCAGAGGCAGGCGGATCTCTATTGAGTTCAAGACCAGCCTGGTCTATAAGAGCTAGTTCCAGGACAGTCTCCAAAGCCACAGAGAAACCCTGTCTCAAAAAACAACAAAAAACCCCCAACCAAACAAAAAACAAACAAACAAAAATTATGGCTTACTGTGGTACTATGAGCTAAAATGAAAACAGGAAAATTCAGAGTGTATTATTCAATCCAGAGACTCTGTCACTCAGTGACTGGACAATACAGTGCGAAGCTTGGACATCTCACTTAAACGGGAGAACAGGTCTGATGCACATCTGTACTGGCAATTGGAGAGCTCAGCTGGGGAGCTCCAGACCCAGAGCTCAGTGTGGAGAACTTCAAAACATTTCTTCTGTACACATCTGGCACTGTTTGTCCCTCTGATCTATTGTCAAGGGTGGTACCCATTTCCCCCATTCTATATAAGAATATAAAATAGTGAACTTTACCTCTTTTTTGTTGTTGTTGCTTTAGAAGTATTTCCTTTTATTTAAGTTCAAAACGTCTTTACTAAATCTGTAGGAACTTCAAAGAGCCCAGAACAGGATAAAACATGGTATGCATATCTGCTAAGGATTTTTTATCAGCCCTAGTGTTTATTGTCTCAGGCTAGTTACAAAGATTTCTCCTTTCAGATCTTGGCACCCTCTGTAAGGATGGAAGCTGAGGAAAGGCTGGATGGGGGACTTGAACTATTGGTGCTGTTGATAATAGTATGCATGTGTGTGCTTTCAGGTTTGAGGCCAGCCTGAGCTATGGAGTGAGTTCCAAGACTGCCAGGGCCAGAGTATGAACTCTTAAAAAAAAAAAAAAAGGAAGGGGGAAAAATGATCTGGAGACTCCCTAGGTCCAGGAAGCATTTCCAGGTGGCTTGGGCCTGTTTCCTGTCAAGCTGCCGGAATCAAACCAAACCTGAGCAGATACAGGCATATGTTCCTTCAAGTTCATGCTTCCTCCAAACGCCTGGTTGGAAAGAGTGGGCACAGACAGCCCTGGCTGGATGGTAGTTCCTCTTCTTAGTTCCTCTTTTGCTCACAGCCAACATTTCTGAGACAGTGGCATTACATAGCCACATAATGCCATTATTACACATGCTGCCTCGGGGGATGAGCAAGGCAAACAGCCATGAACCACGAGGAAGAAGACCCACTGTTCCCGATTCCACCCCATCCCTGGCGAGGAGGGTCAAACCCAGGGCCTTACGCATGCCAGGCAAGCACTGACCTACAAGCGCCATTGTTAAGATTTCACTAGCAGCCCAGGCTGGCTGGTCTCAAACTGGACTGCTCTGGCTTCTGCCTCCTGAGTGTCCTAACCCTTCTCATCCCCCAATCTGTGTCTCAGTTTCCTAGGCTGGAAGCAGAACTGCACCGACTGCTCTGTCTTTACCTGCGGGCTGCGGATCCGGTGAAGCTGGTTGGGAGAAACCTTAGAAAATACCACCCCAACCTAGCAGGCTCTTCCAGACAGATGCGACGGGCGTAGCCCTTGTCCCTGAGATGTTACACCTGCATTGGCCCTTCAGCCATGACACTGGGAAAGCAGGAGCTGAGGGCTGGGGTTAAGACCACAGCTGTAGGGCAGGAGTTAAGTCCTTTCTCTGGATGATGACAACGAAGTGTACTCCACTCCTGAAGCCCCCAGTTTCTGGTCAATTCCTTTTGCAGGGATGGAAGAACCCTATTAAGGCTCCCTGTGAGTTACCAAGAGATGTACAGATGAACACCCTGGGCAACAGATCGCTTCCAAAAGAAGCATCCTGGACGCCCAATTGCCTTCCCTCCCTGAGGGAGCTGACCCCATATAACAAGCCGAAGTTGCTCTGGGCTCCAATAGGTCTCTTCCTCTAAACCCATCTCCAGTTATTTCTCAAACCTTAAAACTGTCAGACTACCAAACTGCCCGGCAGGGACCACGGCTACAATCCCACTGAAGTCTCCGTAGGCTTTCTCCACTTGCTCTGTTTGCAAGAACTTTTTGGTCCTTCTCATCAGATTTTTTTTCCTGGGGTTTTTAATTTTGTTTTAGATGAGGAATCTTTCTTAAGTGGCAGACAGTTGTCACATTTTCCAAATGAAGACATGGAAACAGGAGAAAGGCAAGTCACTAGCCCAGAGTTTTCTGGTTTTTACCACCTCAGCCCTGAGGAGCTTTGCCCAGTGACTCAAGACAAAAAATGCCACTAAGGCACAGGAAGCTGGAAGGGGAGCCAGTTGGACTCCTCACTCAAACGGACCTGGGTAGATTAGCAAACGCCTGCGGGCTGCTGCTTCCCCATGGGTGAACTTTGGATTAGTGTAGAAACTAACTATATCATCTCAGAGCATGAAATACAACTTTCGAGTGAAAAAAAAAAAGCAAACCCAAGTGAAGACTCTCTCAACACCGTAGAACTCACACCTTCCTACAAAAAAACAATGCTAGGCAGTGGTCCTGACTGAGTCAGAACCTGTCCCAAGTGCAAGGGACAGTCATATATCGGGGCGACGTGCCCCATATAACTAACTCAAGGCTTCTTCTTATTGGACACCTCCACAACTCTGCAGAAGACTGCCAACTTTCTTCACAGCTCAAAAAGGAAGCCTCAGACCAAAAGCTGGATGGCTCTACAGGCAAAAAAGTCACTCAGGGTACTAGACAGACGCTTTGGGAATACAGTAGGGGGGAAAATGAAGATTTTCGAGTCATGATGGGAACAATGAAGTAAAAATAGTGAGAGCAGCCCACGTCTAATAGAGCACAGCGGGGAGGCAGACTAACACCCCCCCCCCCACCACCTAACGGAAAACTGGTTCCAGCAGAAAGCTGTGGCCTCCAGTCTTAAAAGGTGTGGCCAGCAGACAGCCCGGACTTAATTTTTCTCTTTTAACGTGAGAGGCCAACAGTAGCTGGATTAACTCTAGGTGAGATGAGTGCACGTGGCATCTCCCTCCGTGCCTCTGGCAGGGTGGAGTGCATTACCTTAGTAAGTCGAGGAAAGAGTCCACCGTCTCCTTGGAGACCGGAGGAGACCCCGAGTCCTCCAACCCCAGGCTGCTGGACTGGAGGGTCTGCGCGCCCGCCCCTGGCTTGATGATGAACGCCAAAGCGACGGCGAGCGCAGAGGCGCTCAGCGTGGTGAGGCCGAAGTAAGCCACCGCGATGCCTCCCAGACGCCCGAGGGAGCTGGCGTCCAGGGAGGCGGCGCCCGACACCAGGCTGCAAACCACCAGCGGCAGGATGATCATGCGCAGCATGCGGAGAAGCATCTCGCCGGGAAAGGCCAGGTAGGTGACCTGAGTGCGGGTGAGCTGCAGCCCGCGCAGCGCCGCGCCCATGCCGGCGCCCACGATCACCCCGGACACAGTGAGCAGCACCAGCGCCTGGCGCCGAAAAAAGTCCGCGCAGCGCCGCCCTCTGCCAGCCGCTATCTCGGGCCGGGCTTCGGGCTCCGCCTGGGTGCCGTCGAGGTAGCCGTTGGTCTCGCTGCAACCCTTCTCCATGTCGCTGCCCGCCGCCCTAAGCTGCAGCCAGCATGCAAGGGACACTGGACTCGGGAGGGAAGACCAGGCTTCCAATGAATGGATCGGGAGGACACGGCGGCGGCCGCGCCAGCTGCGGCTCGGGAGCTCCGCGGGTCCCCTCCGGGGACAGTTTCCAGCAAGCCGAGGAGAGACGTGGGGTCGTCGGCTTGAGGTGAGGCAGAGCAGGACCGCGCCGCACCGCGCCCAGCCTTCTTTTCAGAGACGCCGCGGGCTCGAGATGATGCAACGCTGGAGGCGCGCGGGAGGCTGCAGCCCAGGAAGGAGGGAGGGGCCGGAGCCCGACCCGCCCACGACGCCACGCCCCCGAGATTAAGACCAATCATAATCCGGACACTCGCTGCGTGCCCCCGAACTTTCCCAGGCCCCGCCCTCCCGGAGGCCCTGCGGAGGGAGCGAGACGGGCAGGCGGGGCTCTCTCCCGAGACCCGCGGGGCGTGCGGCCGGGCGGCCAATCGTGTCGTCCAGGTCGCTTCCTGTCCTGGCTAACGGAAGCGGCTCCCAGGGGGTGCAGGCGGAGGTGCGACTCGAAAGACAACCTCCGGGGGCTTCTCCGTCCGGGCCTGGGGCCGTGCGTGGAACGCCGTGGGTTGTTCTTCAACCCTGGGTCCCGCGGCCGGGAGGGGGTCCTCGAGAGTCGGTGCCTGCCGTCCGCTGCGTGCCGGGGGCGGCCCACCGTCCCTCCTGCGGACGATCCTGCCTCCCACGGGTCCCGTGGGTTTCCGTGAGCTGAAACTCGCCTCGGTGCGGAGACAAAGGAATGGGCGGATGAGGAAAAGTCTCACCGCGTGCACGCCCGGGGCTCCGGCAGAGCTGCGCTCTTAGGTGACCGGGGACTCCTCGGTGGGCTCCAGCGTCAAGGCTGCGTCCCTGCTCGCACCAGCGCACTCCCGGCGGTTGTCCCGTTCCTGTACCCCCCACCACACCCCCAGTCTCTGGGCAACAGCCTGTTGTGTGCTGCTGCAGACGCAAAAACTCTCCCGGAGAAGCAGAGCTCTGACGTGTCTGCCGCATAACCTCAGCGGTCACAGGGTTTTTAACCACCTCCTCCCAGGGCTCCAGACTTGGCACGACTTAGCACAGCCAGGTGTTTGACCAATCTGAAAGATGGCTTCACGTGGCTACATTCAATGGATTTCTTTTTTTTAAATAAATGTATTTGCTATCATTTATTTAGTATCTTCTTTGGCCACAGAAGGGAAACCTTTGCGGTCATTTAATGTGCATCTTACTTATTATTACATTTTTCTCATTCTGCTTTTGAAAGGAGCTACCCCACCCAGATGCCTGAGAAAGTCTTAGGTGTAGCTAAATGAAATAAGATGAAAATACTGTGCAGAAAAGTAATGTTAAAGCCACCACAGACACCTGTATGCAGATCAAGATGCCCCTCATGAGGAACTTCAAGACGTCCAGTTTTTTGTTTTTGTTTTTGTTTTCAGGACAGGGTTTCTCTGTATTGTTTTGGAGGCTGTCGGTCCAGCCTGGCCTCGAACTCACAGAGATCTGCCTGACTCGAGTGCTGGGATTAAAAGTGTGCATCACCACCGCCCAGCAAGACGTCCAGTTTTTGAGAAAGTGAAAAGTTCCTTACTTGAAGCCGGTTAGCGGTCGCGAAGAGCTTGTTGAAGTAGGAGCTTATTGGTGCTGAGTGCATTAGACGAGGACCTGTACATATCTTTATCTTGCTTCCCAGAACATGGTTTATCTCTCAGTATGCAAGGATGAGTGAATTTTACAGGCCCGTGCTCTTCATTTCCAAATATTTCTTCCTCCCTTTGCTTGGACTGTAACTTTTATGCAAAAGACTGAAGTCTTGCTCCATAAATGGACTTCCAATTGTCCGATTTACACCTGCACCCAGACACCCTGAAGCATCTCAGCTAGACCTACTCAGAACCGAATGTATGATGGCCTCCCTGTTTCCACCATCAGTATGATCTGCCTCTGTGAGCCTTGGTTTAAGGCTTCCTTCATTTGATCAGCTGTAATGTTTATGTAGCCCAGCAGGCCTTGAACTGACAGTCTCCCCGTTCTACTTTCTGATTACAGGTGTGTGTCACTGCACCTTGTTTATTCCTGTTCTTCTAAATCTGGGCATTAAATAACTACTATTTTTGTGTATTTGTTTTCTGGTGTGTCTATGTGTGCCTTTGTGGAGGCCAGAGGAGGGTGCCAGCTTTCCTGTTCTACCATTCCCTGCCTTATTCCTTTAAAACAGGGCCTCTCACGGAAGCTAGGGCTAGGCTGGTGACCAATAGGTCACAACAACCCTCTCGTTTCTGCACCACAGCCCTGGGGTTACAGGAGTGCTAGGATCTGAACTCTAACCCACAGAGCCTCTCTCCAACCCCCTTATCAAGGCTTTTGAAATTATTTTTGTTTTGTTTTAGGTTGGTCTTGAATTTTCTGTGTAGCTAAAGATGACCTTGAATTCCTAATTCTCCTGACTCCATCGCACAAATGCTGGAATTACAGGTATGTGCCACCTGACTTGGCTGAACCAGGACTTTGTGTATGCTTCTTCTGCTTCTCTCTGAGACAGGGTCTCTCCCTGAACCCGGGGCCAGCAATTGCTTGACTAGGCTAGAAGTCAGAAAGCTCCCAGTTATCCTCCTGCCTCTGTCACCTTCAGAGTTGAAGGTCTAGGAAAGCACAGGACTCTGATTTGTTGGACCTGGGCTAGGATCTGAACTCTTTTCCTCCTGGTTGTACAGTAAGCACTTTTAACTGCTGAACCATCTCTCCAGCCCCCTCATCCCTTTTAAAGAGAGAGTGCTGCTATGTAGCCTAGACTAACCTTGAAGTCCATACTAGACGAACTCTTGGGCCGGCAGTCTCCTGCATGCTGGAGTTCCAGGCATGGGCAGCCATGCTCAAGTGTTTCCTCCCTTGTCTGGACATCCAGCTGTTCTAAGCTGCCTGCACCTTCAGCTCACCCGTGTTTCACCTTTGCTCCAGGGTAGTGTTCCTGGAGACACCGAAGGCATGAATTCTTACTTTATCTTAAAAGAAAGGGAAGAAAGCCAGGCACGGTGGCACATTCTTCTAATCCCAGTCTGAGACAGGATGAATGCTGTAAATCGGAGGCCAACCTGGTCTGTTTAGGACATTATAGGCCAACCAGGGCTACACAGCGAGAGTTTGCTTAAAAAACAAACAAAAACAACAACAAAACCCACATTGTTTATATTCGTTAATGAGAATTTAGCCAAATGACTACACCCAGCTGCAAGAGATAGTCTTCATTTTGCTCTGTGGAAACTTGGGGCTGATGTCACTAAAGACTCGTGGGAAAGGCACTGGGGCTGTAGCTCGCTTGGTGGGGCACTGGCTTAGCATGCGCAAGGCCCGGGGTTCAGCTGAAGACATGGCAGTGATTGACTGTAATCCCAGAAGCTGAGAGATGGGGGGATGGGAGTGTGGAGGCAAGGATGTTAATGTCATCCTCAGCTACATAGGCAGTTTGAGGCCAGCCATGTGTATGTGGGACCCTGTCAATCAATCAATCAAACAAAAATCCACCTGAGAATGATGGAAGATAGACGCTCCTTTTGAACAGCTTGCACTGATTCCCACAGAATTAATGTGTTTCTCATCCTGGCGTCCCTGGCCGGCCAGTATCAGGCTTCACCTTACTCTCGGGCCTTCTGTACATGCATTGTTGGCAGCTCTTGTATCTCTTTGGACAACTCTATTAGAAAGTTTCTTTGGACGGTCTTCAATGGCAGTGCTCAGAAAACTAGATATCCATATTCAGCGAATAAAGTTAGACCCCACACACTACAGAAATCTATCAAGATGGACTAAGGCTTTTAAAAGAAAGACCTGAAATGGTAAACTGCCAGAAGAGAGAGTTGCAAAGGTCATTGATATATTTCTGGGATTTTTTAAAATATGACCCCCAAATTGCAGGCAACAATAGCAAAACTTGACCACTGAAATGCCTTCAACTAGAAAACTACACTGCAAAGGAGACTACCAAGAAAGCAAAAGAAACAACCTATAAATGGGAGAATGTGTTCTGCCTAGCTTTCTGTCAACTTGACACAAGAGTCCCTTTGAAAAGAAGGAGGAACCCTCAACAGAGCAAATGCTCCGCCTTACCGACCTGTGGGCAAGCTTGTGGCTCGTTTCCTTGATTACGGGTTGATGGGAAATGGCCCAGGCCGTGCCATTCTGGGCAGGTGGTCCCAGAGTCTGAAAGAAAGCAGGCTGAGCAAGCCATGAGGAGCAAGCCCGTAAGCAGCTCTCCTCCATGGCCCCAGCTTCGGCTCCTGCCTCCCTGTTCCTGCCCTGAGTTCCTGCCTTGATTTCACTCGATGGAGCATGACCTGAGAGTTCTGATCTGAAGTAAGCCCTTCCCTCCATGTTACCTTCGGTCAAGGTGTTTTATAACAGCAATAGGAAACAAAATAAGACTGATATATTTAAAAACTACATAGTAAGGGGTTAATTCTCCAAGATGTAAAAAATTCAAAGAACTCAATAATAAGAAAACCAGATAACCTAACTAGAAAATGGGGGAAGGAGTTAAAGACATGTTTCTCAAAGACACAGATGACCATCGCTAGTCACCAGGGGAAACAATGGCAAGAAGTGTCATGTCTGTAAGAAGAGCTGCTGTTGTTGGAAGTGTCACGTCTATAAGAAGAGCTGCTGTTGGACCAGGTATGGCAGGTCCATGCCTGGAGTCTCAGGCCCAGTACTCGGGAGGCTGAGGCAGGGAGCTGGAGAGTTGGAGGCCAGCTTAGGCTTCCTAGAAAGACCTTGAATAAGAGAGGAGACACACAGAGAGAGAGAGACAGAGAGAGAGAGAGAGACAGAGAGAGAGAGAGAATAAAATGGCTATTGCAAAGGAAAAAAAAAGGCTGAAAAGCCAGTGCTGATGAGGACATGTGGGGAGGGGGGGAGGGGAGCAGTGTAGCAGGTCCCTGAAACAGTTAAAAGCCATTTGATCCAGGAGTCCCAGGCATAGTTCACTTAGCTTTACATTCATTTCTTTTGTGCATTAGCACTTGTGCTATGACATTTCCAGTGGATATCAAACTACTCGTGGGAGTCTGTCCTCTCCTTCTCGTGTGGATTTGGGGGTGGAGCTCAGATCGTCAGTGGCAGGTAGGTGCCTTTACTCCCTGAGCCTTCTCACCAGCCCGACATCTGTGCTCCTACCCACAACACCCCAGGAACAGAATCAAATTAAGTATTTATTTGTGGATGAGTGGATAGAGATCACTTCACATGTGGAGTATAGTGGAACCTAAATCTGTACAAACCTGAAGGACATTGTGCTAAGTGAATTAAGAAAAACAGACAAATATTGCGTGACCTCACTTGTATATGGAGTTGTTTTTTAAATAAAAGTGTGATTCAGAGGCTGAGAATTTGGTCAGAATGGAGAAAGGCAGGATGAAGCAGAAACAGAACATCTTTCCCCTAGTGTTAGAAAACAGCTGAAACATGTTAGTGGATGCCGTCTTCTTAGAGAAGACTGGTGAAGCAGAAACATTGGAGAATCCTAGGATTTGTGGGGCAAATTTTTGAATGTAGGGATTTCATTCAGTTAACAACTAGATGCTTGTGGAGTTACTGAGAGCAAATGACTGCAAGGCCACAAAGTTGGGGGAGGGGAGTAAAAGCTGAGATGGTGGCTCATGCTTGAAATCCCAGCAGGCAGGAGTTAGAGGCAGGAGGATCACTGAATGTTCAACATCAGCCTGGACTAGATACTAAATTCAAGGCCAGCTGGACTTCCACAGTAAGTCCCAATCTTGACTGCTCTACAGAATGAGTCCTTGTCACCAAGCCAAAACCAACCACAACAGAGCCACTCCTATAAAAGGAGATAAGAGTTACTTGTATGCAGCCAGGCACAGTGACTTAGATCCATGAACCCAGGTCTTGGGAGCTATGACAAAGGACCAAGGGTTTGAGGGCAGCCTGAATATAGAGAATTCCAGGCTTGCCTGGCCTACTGAGGCAGACCTTGACTCAGTCTCCCCCCTTCAGGGGGTGGTGGCCCAGTGCTTGAGTGGTCGGCTAACATGCATATTCTAAGGCTAGAACAGAGTCGAGGAACCGAAATCTCAACAGGGAAGCCTTTCCTCCCTGCTCACTCCATTATTAAGGAGAGTTTATGAGGGTTCTGAGTTAACAGATTAGAATTAAAGAAAAGCCCCAAATAAGATTTAGGGCTAACTGCTCAGAGCCTGCTAATCATGTCCTTTCTAAGTGCAAGGCTATAAGGTGAGAGGCTAGGGCAGATAAAGTAGAAAAGATGTGAATTTCAATTAGAGCAGATCATAGATCTTATTAGAATTGGCACAGTAATTCACTGAAGCCTATTGGAAGAGATATACATGGATTCCTTTAACCAGTTCAAGAAGAAACCAGAGGTCCCCAGCTTGACTGCAGCAGAAAGAATCTAAAAAGGACAGACTACAGATGCTACTCACAAAGAAAGCCAGGCCTGGAGCGACACCCCTGCACTCCCAGCACTTGGGAGGTAGAGGCAGGAGAATCAGGAGTTCAAGGCCAGCCTTAGCTACACTTAGCAAGACTGAGGTCAACCTAGGATGTATGAAGTCCTGTTTTAAGAAACAAAACACAAATGTTGTCAATATTTGTATAATTCTGGGTTAGGCCCAACCACCCATCAATACTTTTTTTCCTAACTTTTTATTTCCTTCAGGCTGGAGAGATGACTCAGCTGTTGTGTCATTGGCTACTTACCTTGTCCTGCTTGGCTGAGACTCAGCCTGACTAGGGACATGGGAGAGATGACAGAACAAGCAAGAAAAGCTGGGCTCAGGTGGGCTGTGCCCATCGGGATGGAGCTGCACCAGCTGTGCAGCAACCTGGAACCTCAGCTGTAAATGTCATGGAGGGGGTAGCTGCAGTCACACTGGTCAATTGTTCATAAACAATCATACTTGCACACATTGTCAAGGTCCCGCACAGACATGCATATGCACAACACATCTGTAAACATAAAATCAACAAGTAAACTTAAATTTACTTTTTTCTTTATCTTTGAGAATTTCACACATGTCTGTAATGAAATATGATTATATATACTCCCTGTTTCCTTGAACTTCCCCCATATGTCCCCAACAAGTCTACAATGAACTTCATGTCTATATATGTGTGTGTGTGTGTAGACATACATTTACATACATACATATACATATATATATTCATTAAATCCAGTTAGTGCTGCCTATATATGCACAGATGTGAGGGCATCCACCGGAGCATGGGAATCCTATCATCAGCCTCACTTACTACAGAGAATGATTCTCTTTCCCCAGAGACTATCAGCTGCCAACAGCTGCCTGGTAGGGGTGGGGCCCAGAGAATGTCTACCTCGTTTATACTGGGATTTTGACTGGCTTGATCTTATGCTGTCGATTATGAAAGCACAGCACTGTAGCTGCTTGCATCTATATGCTTATATTGTTCCAGTTAATAAAGGAAAGACATGTAGTGACCAAATGCAGTGGAATCTAGACCACAGGGAACTAAGCGTAATCATGACCCAGCTGGGAAACTTTATGGACTAGACGTGGGATTCAAGGTGAGGTTTTTAATGTGGCATCGGTGATCTGGGTAGTGGAGCTGTGGCCTTGTTCCTGAGAGGGTGAAGCGGTCTTTGGGGGTGAAGCACATGGCATCCGCGTACCAGCCCTGGGTATTTAGTGGGAGGCGGCGTGGGTTGGAAAGGCAAGGCATTAAAATTCGTGAAACAGGCTGACAAGTGCGCCGGTGGCCACTGCTTTGTTCTGGAAGCTCACCTGTAGGTTAAAAGTTTTCAGACTTATGAAACGGTTGTTTATAAGGATCAACAAATGGAGTGGCAGCCGGCTTTAGTCTTGACCCTGTGGCACTACAGCAATGGGCAGCCTTCACAGAGAGACAAGTTACAATCCTAGAGGTCACTGTGGCCTCTGACTGTGCTTCTCTGCCTACTTCCCAGTAGGCTGGGTGTGAAAATGGAGGCTATAGAGAATCCTCACAGCCATAGGTGAGTGCAGACTGAGTAATTATTAGCTACCAACCTAGAACCTAGTAGATGCTCCCTCCACTTAATAAAGAAGTTGGCCTAAAAATAAGTGATGTTATCATGGGGGTTACTGAATCCATTTTGGATTCATTTAAAAATAAGAATGTTCTAAATTTTGTGTGAAATGGGTTTGAAGAAACGATTTTGATGTATCAATGAAGTATAGATTCTTTATTGTCTGTAACATATCTAATCTTTTGTCACAGGCAGCCAGGGTCCTGGGTCACTGTGCAGAGCTAAAGAAAATGTCTTTAAGTCGTGAGTGACCGTAATGGAAATCCTTCCTAGTTTAAATAGTGTGCGATTCAGAGACTTTTGGCAACTTCAGCTTCTATGAAGAAATGACAGTGATGATCTGATGTGAAAAGTTGTAAGTGGTTATCCAACTCCAGTTTTCAAACTGGTTCTCCAACCAATGAATAGAGCTCACCCGAGGGAGGCAGAAGCCTCTGAACAGGTCTACACGTGGCCTGTATACTGAGCCTTAACCGTTACCATCATACCAGGCTTACTACTCACACAGAACGCACACGAGTCCCCCAGGAATTGTAGTGCAGTCCTCCTAGGACAGATGTCCATCATCGGCCCACCCCAGATATGAGGGGCAAGCATGGCTGGGGTCAGCAAAGCTGTCTACCCCCACCGCCGCCCCACCCATGGCTGTGGAACATCTGAGGTGGCACCTGTCTGAGGGTACTATGGGCAGGCTTTTGGAGGCTTCTCCTGCCTTTCCCATTCCTTGTCTGCTGGGATGTGAACAGCCTCAGCCACTCTCTCCTGCCTCTAGGAACTGATCTGAGTGTCTTCACCATGCCTCTCCAAAGTGATGGAGTGAAAACTTCTGAAACTGTTAGTCAAGATACATCTTCCCCAGGGCTGGAGAGTCGGCTCTGCAGTTAAAGTCTGCTCTTTCAGAGAACCAGAGTTTGGTTCCCAGCACCCACACTGGGCAGCTCACACCTGCCTGCAACTCCAGCTCTGTGGGATCTGATGCCCTCTTCTGGCCTCTGGGGCCACTTGTACCCTCTAGACATGTGACCACGTGACTCATACACTAAGGTATGCACACACACACACACAGACAGACACCACACAATTTTAAAAAATCTTTTAAAAAATGAGTAACTCTCCTTCCTTACTCTGTTTACATCAGATATTTTGGTTACAGGGGAAGAAATATAACTTACCACAGAACATATATAAAAGTTCACTTGGGGAAATTCCTCTGTGACAAAAAATAATGACGAGGGTGCTGTAAGGAAACAGTTGTCAAAAGGCAGAACAAATCTGCCCCCAAGTGAAGGGAACCAGGAAGAAAAGCTGAAGAAACACACCCCAGTCTGTCATGCAGTGAGGGAGGGACAGCTGTTGGGAAGCCTCAAGCCAGTGTCAAAGAAGCCGCAGGAACAGGAGGACCTACCACCCTCATGCTGAGAGAAACTTGCAGGAAGCACGGACTTGGCACACACGCGGCCATGGATTTCAGCGACATTAACTGGTCATTTTGACCGGCTTTTCAGGGGGCTGCCATAGTTGGACAGAATTTCTGCAGTGAGGTTTTACTCTCATGGTGTCACTGTTCCTGGGAGGACATAAACAAATGTCTGCTCACCCCAGAGAGTGAACTGACAAAAGACCAAAGTAGGGATACAATCAGTGTCCACCTTGGGCAGCCAGTGAGTCTCCCTGGGGTTATTTATAGGAGCAGGAGTGACTCAAAGACAGCTGCATCACCAGAATCTACCCCCCTCACCCCCGGCATGGATGAAAACTCACAAAAGCTGGAAGCCTGAAGCTCCCCGTACAGCCTGCAGCCAGCTCAGCAGGCGGGAGAGCGTCCGCTCCTGGTGGCTCTGGGTTCCAGCCTCTTTGTCCCTCCGCAGTTCTCCCTGCTTCTGTGTGGTTACGGAGGGGAGCCTAGTGAATATGGTCCTGAAGCCATCGAATTATTTACTTCTTGAGCCAAATGAGCTTCTCTGAAGGATGGAATGCCTCCCCTCTCCTGTAACATTCTGTGTCTTAAACTTCCCTCCGGTGAGGAGGGTTTTAATCTCAGAAGACACTTGTCTGCTCACTGTACAACAATTGCTTTTTTTTTTTTCATATGGGCGGTTCTGCCTCCCAGGGGGCATTTTGGAAATGCCTGTGGTCAGAGACATTTCCAAGGCACATGGAGAGGACTTTAGAGATCTTTTCAGAACTTTGGATTTCACTGTGACTGACGGAGAGAGCCATTTGAGAGTTTGGAGTCTTCTTGACTGACTTTGAAGAAGCAGACTGCACGAGATATGAGAGTAGAAGCAGGGAGACCTGCCAGGCAGCTGCCGTGATTGTCAAAGGCAGAGGAGCTTGGGGTCACGGAGATAGGAGATGGTGGCACACCGTCACCTCTGGATGTGTTTGTAAGATAGAGCCAGCAGGACTTGCTAAAAGATTGGGTCTAGGATGTGAGAGCAGGACTTGCTAAAAGATTGGGTCTAGGATGTGGGAAGAAAGTCTTCCCTGGGATCTCACTTAACTATTTCACATAGTAGGGCTCCCTCTGTGATACAGAACTGTTGCTACAGCAAAGGAGAGAGGTGGAGTCTCACACTGGCCATGAAGCACATTTCTCAGCCAAAGACAGTCATGTGATGATGAATTTCAAGTGGTTGAGGAAGGGCTATTCTGTTAGGTGTTTGGGAAAGAAGAAACATTGGTAAATAACACTAGCACCTACTGGAAATAGAAATAAATGATAGAGAATCATGGGCACCTACTGGATACAGAGCTATATGATAGACAATCACTGGGCACCTACTGGATACAGAGCTATATGATAGAGAATCATGGGCACCTACTAGATACAGAGCTATATGATAGACAATCACTGGGCACCTACTGGATACAGAGCTATATGATAGAGAATCATGGGCACCTACTGGATACAGAGCTATATGATAGACAATCACTGGGCACCTACTGGATACAGAGCTATATGATAGAGAATCATGGGCACCTACTGGATACAGAGCTATATGATAGACAATCACTGGGCACCTACTGGATACAGAGCTATATGATAGAGAATCATGGGCACCTACTGGAAATGGAGCTATACGATAGAGAATCGTGGGCATACGAGATTTAAAGCTGTGGAACTGACAGAGGTGACCAGGAAATGTAGAGACAATAAGAACTTCAAGGACATAGCCCTAGGGAACTTCACAATCTAGAGTTCATCAATTCAGTTGACATGACAAGCTTAAAATAATCGTTCTGCTTCCTTTGGTTACACAAATGATCATAACTCTAGGATGAAGTAATAAGCCGACAACACTGATAAGCTATGTAAGTGTAACATTTCAATCTTTGTGTTACTCATGGATCTCTCTGTGTGTTATGTGGTGCATACACATGCATATGCAGAGGTAGGTGCTTCTGTGTGCATGTGCAGAAGCCAGAGAAGTGGTACGGGGCAGCCTCTATCACTCTCTACCGTGTTCCTTTGAGGCAGGATCTCTCTTTGAACCCAGAGCTCATGTTGTTTGGCGAAGCTGGCAGCTGGCCCTCCTGTCTTTGCTCCCCACAGGACTGTGAAAGACCATTACTCCTTTGTCACACAGGTATTGAGATCTGAACCCAGGTCCAAATAGTTTCTCAGCAAGCACTCTTAACCATTTTTTTTCCAGCCACTAATTTTTTGTTTTGTTTAAAATGAGACTTTAAATATGAAGATTACCTGGTTTACTTATGAATTTTGTAAATCAGCTTTCCTAGAGTCATAAGGTTTCGTTCATTAGATTTATAAGTCTGATTTTGATGTTTGAAGTTCTTACATATAATTCAGTTATGTTATATTTGTGCCTGTGGTTTGAGATCTCTAAAGGAATTTGATCAAGCTTACTAGGTCTATAAGTAAATAAACTCTTTAGGTTGAACTTAAAGGCTTTTACAAACGCTAATAGTATCAAATCCTCTTGGAGCACTCTACCCTAGTGAGAAGCTCATCCTGTGCCTGTCTCCCCACCATGACTGTGTCAGGAGAGCAGCTAGTCAACTTGTGGGGACGCAGGGTCCCTTGGGCACTTGTTACTATACCTCTAGGACTAGCTCTGAAGCGCTGTTGGACATCTCTTTGTTGTTGGTCCCTGTTCTGATGGGCCTGTCTTTCATCCTGATGGATGAGGTCTTTTTCTGATGAACTGAGATTGAATGAGTTAAGCATTTTTAACGTTACTGGCTATTTGAGATCATGGTCACGCTCCACGCAGTGTCCTTTAGCTGCAAATCACCATTCATCTGAGGCAAATATTATCCTTGTCAGCGAGACCTCCTGTTGACAGCTCTCCCAGTAACCTTGGGTCTGTTCATGTTCAAGGACTTCTGAGCCCCCCAAGTGAGTCAACAGTGAGTCCCTTTGCTGGGACCATCCATCTTCCAGTTCATAGCAACTGGCAAAACTGTTAGGAGCTTTCTTGACACTATTGTATGGTATGGGGTGATTGGGCAGGGTAGCAGAATTGTTCAATGGCTTCCTGTCCCACCCTCCATATGGATAGTGTGGTGACTTGTGTAGCTAGAGGGTGTGGCAGTTTATTGACCAGTGGTGCTGTGGCATGGCTGGTTTATGAACGGTGCAGCAGTGTGTGGAGTGAGGAGGGAGATGCGTCTGTGTCCTCTGTATCACACCTGTGCTCTGTGATCTTCAGCTCACGTAACCATTGGGTGCCTTGTTTTATCTACAAAATAATGGCTAACAGCTCCCTGGTATTGATGAGGATCAAATCAAATGAGGCAGGCACACAAACTAATTACAACACCTTTTTTTTCTTATGATCCAAGGCCTTGCTGTGGTCTGGCTGGGTAGCCGCATGGTCCAAGGTTACCTCAGACAATGGTCCTTTAACTTGGTAAAATGCTTAGTAAGTATTAAATAATTATATGCTTTTATTATTATTTTTTGTCACCTGTTTGAGTTACTTCAAATTAGCTAGTATGCCAGAATAAAGGGGGTGTGGGGGGCCCATATCCTTATTCTATTCAATGAAAAATAATTTGAATTCTGGCTCATAATTCATTTGAATAAGGCAAGGAAGAATCCAAGCATTACTGTGTAATGGGGGAAATTTTCAGATCCAATTCCTTGTTTTCTTTTCTTAATTCCCTGTGTTTTAGCTGAGTCTTCCTGAACTCTCATTGCCTTGATGAATTCTGGGGATGAGTCACCAGGCACAGGCAGGCACTTGCAGGAGACAGGTGCTCAAAACTCCCAGCTTCTCCATGGAAGGTCGTTGCTGTTCATCAGGAAGAGGTCTGGGCATTTAGCCCAGCTGGTATCTGACCTTGGTCCTTGGCAAGCATCTTCTGTGAGTTCTGTGAGTTTGGTATGTGGCAGAAGTAGGCAGGTTCTCTTCATTCCACCCTATCCTACTTCCTCCCACACCCACAGCCGGCATGAAGGCCACCAGTCTCTCTCTTAAATCACTTGCGTGTTTAGACTTCCCAAGTCATGCTGACTAAGACACTACTGTGAACCAAAGCCAGATCTTTGTTTCTATTCTTGCATGTAAGTATGCATGTACACAAGATAATGATGGATGGTATATTGGTTGGGCCTCAAATCCAGGGCCACACCCAGCCCCCAGATCCTTACCTGGACATGAAAAGCACAGGGAAATCATTTGACAGTATGTAAAGAGCAATCCGTCTGCACAGGAGGCAAAGTAAGCTTCAATAGTGTGGAGTCATGATGATGATGTGTATTTTTAATATGCTAAGAGTGGCCTTTAGTCCTGTAGTGCCCTCTTTAAACCCATGACTCCTGTCTCATCATGACTCAAACAGCAGACCTATCCAAAGGAGGGGATACAAAATGCAAGGGGGGGCGGGGCTAAGGAGATGCAGTGAGCAACTACATAGAATGGGGTCCCAAACTGGACCCTGGAGAGCACCGAGTGTAATCAAAGCATATGCAAATGAAGTACGGGATATAGCTGCTGCTGGCTGGTCAACCGTGAAAGGGAGGCCACCAGTGTGAGATGTTGATGACAGGGGAAGTGGGTGTGGGGACAGGGGGATTCTTTGCATTGTCTTTGGCAGATTTTAAATGAATCCAAAAGCACCCTAAGATTGAAATTATTGCTTTTAGAGCTCTGTGCAGGGGAAACTAACAGCGCAGCACCTTGGCCTGTCGGCTGTGGTTGTCCCTGGGAGCGGGAAGGAGGTGAGAGCTGGCCTATTGGGCCCCTGATGGGTGTGGGACGGAGTGGAGAAGGCAGTCAGGCCTTGTCCTGCGGGGAAGATGGGACACGCTTCTACTGTATCTGGCTTTCTTTCAATGCACGTGACCCACTTTCACATTCTGATTCTTCATGAATTAAAAATGATATACAAGATCTGGATGTAGTAATGGACCCCTGCAGTCCCAGCACTTGAAATGTGGAGGAAAGAGGATCAGAAATTCAAGGCTACCCTGGGCCAGGTGACACTGTGTCTTTAAACAAAGCAAACTAAAACTAACCCAAAAAGTAACTTCAAGGTTGTTGGTTTTTTTCCTTTAGAGTAAATATTTTAACTCAATTTTAGAGTAAAAGCATATATATATATATATATATATATACTGATATATATATATATGTATATATATGTATGTATATATCAGTTTTGAACCTATTGCTTCCTACTTAGGCTGCTAATTTTCACTTCCAAATTCCCAGTAATACATAGAAACACAGCACACACCTAGTGGATAACTCTTGCCAAATATGACCCAGGCTGTCTTCAAACTCATGACCCTCTTGCTCAAGCCACTGTGTGCGGCACTCTAAGCTAGCTGGGCCATCACACCAGGTTTCACAACATTTGTTATAGTTTTGTTTTGTTTTAAGCAACACACGATCTGACCTAGAAGGACTGATTGGAAAGGTTTTAGCACGCGCGCACGCGCGTGCGTGCGCGTGTGTGTGTGTGTGTGTGTGTGTGTGTGTGTGTGTGTGTGTCACTGAGACTGAACATAGGTACTCATACACGCTAGACAAATTGCTCTGCCCCTGAGTTTTCCCCAGCCTGGAAAGTCTTTCTCTCATTACAGACTGGGACTCCTTCCACAATTGAAGCCTTCACTCTTCTTATCAACGCTGTCCCACATCCTGAGTGAGATTAGTTCTCTTTGTCTGCATTCAGTTCTAAATGATTTGATTTCTTAACTAATTAACTTATTTTTACGTGTCTGTGTGTGTTTTACCTGCACGTATGTGCACGATGTGAGTGCAGTGACTGGAGAGGCCAGAAGAGGGCGTAAGATCCTGTGGAACTGGAATTGCAGATGGGTGTAAGTTCCGAGTGGGTGCTGGGAATTGAACCCAGTTCTTCTGCAGCCAGAACTCTTCACCTCTGAACCATCTCAGGCACTAAATTATTTCATTTTTTTAATGTAAAGATAGGGCCTGTTACTTACTGAATACTATGAGCTTGTTATAAAGACATAAAAAGCACTGCCAACCATAATCTTGTCTTCTTACATTTCATCGATTCATGTGTATATGTATAATAAATTTTTAAAAAGCACATAAAGATTATCCGCTGTGGGCGGAACAACCCCTTCCTCCCTGTCTCTCTTAAAATCCAGGCCTTTGTGAGTGTGTTCAACCACTGAGCCACAATCCCCGCTCTACCCAGAGTGCTTGAAAGCACACATTGCTAGGAAACTACTCTGTGTGTCCCACAGCTCGGCTTACAAAAAGGCAACTGAGGCAATTCTGGGCATAAGAGACTTCAAAATAAATCAGCTGGTAACTTCTGGGAGACTCTCCTCATCACACTAAGGAAGAAGTAGTTGCTGGTCCTCTACTAGATGCTGCTTTCTCTGAACTGAACCATGTTTATATGGAAGCCCTAGCTGGCGTGTTGACTACAGTCTTCTTGTAAGGATATGATTGGAGATGGTTTGTTCATGTCAATAAACCATGGTCTTCTCAGTTCTGCAGCTGAGAACATCTTGACATGTGTGCGTACATGTGTGTGTGTTGTTGTTTTTGAAAAGTTTAATCTCATTACCTAGGTCAATCGCTTTGTTGAATGGAGCTTTCCCGTTCTTAAAACTGAGTGCTCCTGGGTGGTTAATAGACTAGGTAATAGCCGCTCTAACAAGCTAGGGTTACGTACCTACACCAATCTGCCAGTTAAATTGGCAACTTGTAACACAAAAAATAAATGACCCAGAGAATGATATTGGGGTTCAAACTTCAAGCTGAAGATCAGAAAAGCAAAGCAGCTGGCCACTAGCTTCTTACCTGTACCTCAGGCTAAATGGGCTGATCCTGTCTCCACGAGCTCTCAGCAAGCCTCAGACTGTAACCTTTCCTCAGCGTGGCTGGAGAACAAATGCCTCTACTGACTACTGAAGATCCTGCTCTATTTTTTGTACCCCTCTAGTGCTGGGATTAAAGGCATGTGATCTTCGAGTCGAGACCCTTTTGTGGGGATGGACTGAATGACTCTTTTACAGGAGTTGCCTAAGACCATCAGAAAACACAGTTATATCACAATTCATAACAGTAGCACAATTACAGTTCAGTCCCTGGAACCCATCTGGTGGAAGGAGAGAACCAGCTCCCAGAACTTGTCCTCTGTCCCCACACGTGTCATGCACGTGTCCACACACAACAATAATATTAACTATTTAAAAGTTAAAGCCTTTGGAGAAACCACCTCATATTTTGGCTCGTTTCTGTCATCCCCACCCCATCTGAGACCTAGAATTTGATGTTATCCCACAAAAGGGACTCTGGTCACTCCACGTCACTCCAAATGATGTTTCTAGACTTTCAAAGCTGAAATGAATTTTCGGGAACTTAGGTTTTACCTAACTTTGAAGCTGCTGGTAGGAAGATGAAACAGTTTTCTGGGGAGTGATTAAGTCAAGAAATGTCATCCAGTGACAGAGTCTTCAGAATCGCCTCTGTGGAAACCAGGGGCTGGCAGCTCATACCTGTAATCTTAGCACCTGGGAGGCTGAAAAAGAAGATTGCTATTCATCTGGGGTTAGCGTGAGCTACATAATGAATCATGCCAGCCTGGACTACAGACTGACATCTCGTCTCAAAATAAAATAAAATAAAACAAATGAAACTGAACTCAGGAGCCAGGAATGAGTCAGCAGGATATAGGCTCAAGTCAGCCACAGCCTTCTCCTGACTTCCTTAACGAACGAAAAAAAAAGAAAGGAAAGCCATGACTGCTCCTAGGCATGGTGGAGGAGAGAGTTTATTGTAGACATGTCGGGGAGCATAGGCGGAGGCAGGGACATCGGGGAGACTCCAGAGTGGACTCGACCAGAATGAGCTGGGCCAGGGCAGGGGAGAGAGGGGAATGAGGCGCAGCAGCCAGGAGGCCAAAGGTACAAAAAGGTGGGCAGCCAAAATGTCTGCGTTATATTGGGAAGAGCCTCTGGGGAAGGGCAGCCCGGCCCTTGGACTGGCCTGATCAGGGAAGAGGGTGGGGTGTGCCAGCCACACCCTGTAGCAGGTAGGGACTGAGGGATGCCGGGAGAACCTGGAGGCCAAGTCCTCTTGGCCATGTCAAATAGGCACCTCAGCCGGGTTTGAAACTTAAACATCTACACATGGCCACTGGAAGGAAAGAGAACAAAAGCAGCGGGAGGAAAATACCAGTGTGTGTGGTGGGGATGGGCTGCTGCCTGGGCACCCAGTGGTGTCCACTGAGCACAGAGCAGCACCCAACGTCACCAGACTATACCTAGGGAAATGGGGCGTCTCTCAGTGGGTCTCGCCTAGACTGAATTTCAATTTGGGTTTAAATGCAATTACCTGGAGGATTTTTTTTTTGGGTATGGCCTGCTTATTGATTCTTAACAAAACTTTAATTAGCGACCTCTAGATCTCAGCTTGCTTGTCTTGTAAGCCTCCCTCTTTTCCCCCTCCCGGTTATCCCAGGGCAGGAGCAGATGCCCTCGGGGGCCGTGGAGGAGTGCTGTTTATTGGTTTGCTCTCAGTGGCTTGCTCAAACCAGCTTTCTTACACACCCCAGAACCACCTGCCGGAGGATGGCACCACCCAGGACAATTAGAAAGTGCCTACAGGCGGATGGTATGGAGACAGTTTCATTTGGGGGTCCCTCTTCCCGAGTGGCTCTAGCCTGTTCAAGCTGATGGGAAACTAAGGCAGGACAGAGGTGCTGCTTCTCCAGCTCCAGGGCTGCCTGCAGCTCCGGCTTCCTCCGTGCCCACGGATGGCACACTTCCCATCTTTGTGCTCTTCTCTTGGCTCCGCCTCACTGTGGACCCAGGGGAGGATGGCAAACAAAACAGCGGCAGGGCCCGGTGCTACCCTGTCTTGAGGACGCCCCAGCCAAATAAATTAGCCTGCTATTCATTTTTTAATTAAACCTCATGCATGTACCCAACATGAGCAGAATGAAGCCAGATGACTCGTTGCCAGAATGTACTGTAGAGGCCCATAGCCAAGTTCCTGGTAGAGCCTTTGCTCTCTGAAATCCCCTGAGCCAGCCTCCACCACTGTTCACGTTTCTCTAGGCGTTCCGGTCCTCCAAACCCCCACTGGAATGCTACATGAAACACCGCATGGAGCGTTCTGGGGTTTCTGTAGCCCAAATTCCCAAACTCATCCATACTCCTCTCATTTGCCTACCAACCAACCACATGGTCAGGTTTGTCATAGCAATGGTCCCTCTTCTTGCACTAATTTTTGGTATTAGCGACTTACATCATTGCTAAAATGTCAGACGAGGGCAACTAACAGATTTTCTGATAACCCCCTCCCCCACAGTAAGTGTCTTCAGAGACGCTGTAAGCCAGATCAAGCAAAACTGAAAAGGTATAACAACGGATGTATTGAGCAAAGCAGCCCCCAGACAGGTTCACTGGTGTCAGAGAACCAGGCCAGTGGAGTCAAGGGCACCTGAGCTGAGGCAGGGAGATTTTATAGATTGTAGGCATGGGGTGATGACGTGTCTGCCACCAGCTGGGTTTGTGCCCAAGTGTGTTCAAAAGCTGAGTGCCTAGGTGAGGACTTGGGTGGCGGGCTGCTGGCGGCATCGGGGAGGAAATGGCAATCGTTGTAGTAGTTGCCAAGAATGCTGTGGAAGGAGGCTTTTTTGGAGCCTTTCCATTGTTCAGAGACTCGGGGGTGGGGTGTGTGGGGCGGACACGGACAGAGAGACAGAGACAGAGAGACACACAGAGAAACACGGCAAGAGAGACAGAGAGATGAGGGAGAGGACAGAGGAAGAGGAGTAGGAGGAACAGGGCTTCCCAGACCGTGTAGGAGCCAGCCAGGGGCTCCGATTGAACAGTAACTGAAGGAAGAAATGTCTATTTTAGTTCACAGTTTGAGAGTAACAGGCCGTCGTGGGTAGGGGACACATGGTGGCAGGATGTGAGGTCTCTGGTTACTGCGTTTGCTGTCAGGAAGTACTGAGAGATGAAGACTGGTCCTCGCCTCGAATTCTCGTTTATCCAGTCCAGGACTCTAACCCCTGGGATTGTGCCGCTCACCTCCAGACTAGGTCTTTGTTGTCAGTTAAGCCTCTCTGAAACAACGTCAGAGTTAGTCTGAGAGGAGTCTAAATCTAGTCGCTAATGCCATCTAACCGTCCCACCAGGACGTCGTTAATGGTAACAGGCTGTTATCATCCTCTCCTAGAAGGGGTCAGCAGAGGTTCTAGTCCTGCTTTCTCCCGCCCCAGCACTGGCTGTTGGTGGGAGGCCCTAAGGCAGTGAAAGGCTGACTAGGAGGCGAGGACTCTAAGTGGTCCAGCTGGGGCACTGGGCACCTGTAAGCAACTCCAGGAAGCTCGCTGGTCCACGGAACCGTCTGCCCCCACCTTCCTATCTGGGCTTTATGCAGTGGAGATCTCACAGTGAGAGAAGGACAGATGACAGAGGACACATTGATGCCCGAGGCCCCGTGCTCAGGAAGGGACTTCTCAAACTGTCTAACAGCTAGCCGCATATTTTCTGCTTCATCTCACAGCTTTCTTTAAAGATTAAGGCCACCATAGGTTTTCCTTTCTACACTTTGGCCAAACTGTAAGTAAATCCACCTCCTTTTTTTTTTTTTTTAATGCCAATCTGTCTCCTCATTTCCTTCGAAGGGAAACAAAGGTTACAGGATGCGGTCCTGAGAGCCTGGTAACAAATGTGCTTCGTCACGTCACTCAGCGAAGCCAGGCAACTCTCTCACGAGGGTTCTTGGAAGATCGGGAGTGATACAGAATGGGCTGGGAACAGTTCCTGGCATTTAGTGAGCACAGTGTAAATATTTGTTATTCTAAGTTTTGATACAACTCCAAGATAAGTCATCTGGTTTCCTAACATTCCAGCGTCGAATTAGGTAAAAATATCAAGTTACAAAGTGTCCAAATGGAGGGCCAATGTCTGTGTTTCTTTAGAGTCGGTCCTGGAAGTTGGCAGGTGAACACACTTCATGGAACTCAAACCATTTCACAGACATCTAAAAGAACAGGGGCATCCAGAGTCGTATCCCTCCACTTTGGATCACTATACCTTATGCAGTCCAGCCTGGCCTAGGACGTGAAGTTCTCAGTCTCCTAAGTGCTATAGGCCTCTGATTTACTTTCTAAAATTTAGAAATTGGGGGTGGGGCAGAGCCTTGACGTCTAGCTCAGACCTTGAACTCTTGACTCTCTTGCCTCAGTTTCCTGAGTGCAGAAATTACAGATATATCTGGTTGTGTTTTAAAAATAAAAGAAGGCCAGGCAGTGGTGGTGCATGCTTTTAATCCCAGTGCTGGGAGGCAGAGGTAGGCGGATCTCTGTGAGTTCCAGGCCAGCCTGGTTTACAAAGCTACACAGAGAAACCCTGTCTTGAAAAACCCAAAATAAATAAATAAATAGAATAAAAAATTATTATCCCAAAGAAGTGTAACTATTGTGGGCAAAATAACTGTCCCTCAAATATGTTTGAGTCCTAATCCCTTCTATGACAAAGTAGATAGAGATT